TAAAAAGATTTATTTTTTACATTGGATGAATTCTGTCTCAACACTCCCCCAACCACGGAGGACATGTTTCCATTTGAAAAAATGTTGAGTGCCAAGATAGTACAAAACATGTAACCTGTAGGATATACAGTCAGGTCCATAAATATTGGGACATGGACACAATTCTAACATTTTTGACTCTATAAACCACCACAGTGGATTTGAAATGAAACGAACAAGATGTGCTTTAACTGCAGACTGTCAGCTTTAATTTGAGGGTATTTACATCCAAATCAGGTGAACGGTGTAGGAATTACAACAGTTTGCATATGTGCCTCCCACTTGTTAAGGGACCAAAAGTAATGGGACAATTGGCTTCTTAGCTGTTCCATGGCCAGGTGTATGTTATTCCCTCATTATCCCAATTACAATGAGCAGATAAAAGGTCCAGAGTTCATTTCAAGTGTGCTATTTGCATTTGGAAACTGTTGCGGTCAACTCTCAAGATGAGATCCAAAGAGCTGTCACTATCAGTGAAGCAAGCCATCATTAGGCTGAAAAAACAAAACAAACCCATCAGAGAGACAGCAAAAACATTAAGCGTGGCTAAAACAACTGTTTGGAACATTCTTAAAAAGAAGGAACGCACCGGTGAGCTCAGCAACACCAAAAGACCCGGAAGACCACGGAAAACAACTGTGGTGGATGACCGAAGAATTCTTTTCCTGGTGAAGAAAACACCCTTCACAACAGTTGGCCAGATCAAGAACACTCTCCAGGAGGTAGGTGTATGTGTGTCAAAGTCAACAATCAAGAGAAGACTTCACCAGAGTGAACACAGAGGGTTCACCACAAGATGGAAACCATTGGTGAGCCTCAAAAACAGAAAGGCCAGATTAGAGTTTGCCAAATGACATCTAAAAAAGCCTTCACAGTTCTGGAACAACATCCTATGGACAGATGAGACCAAGATCAACTTGTACCAGAGTGATGGGAAGAGAAGAGTATGGAGAAGGAAAGGAACTGCTCATGATCCTAAGCATACCACCTCATCAGTGAAGCATGGTGGTGGAAGTGTCATGGCGTGGGCATGTATGGCTGCCAATGGAACTGCTTCTCTTGTATTTATTGATGATGTGACTGCTGACAAAAGCAGCAGGATGATTCTGAAGTGTTTCGGGCAATATTATCTGCTCATATTCAGCCAAATGCTTCACAACTCATTGGACGCCGCTTCACAGTGCAGATGGACAATGACCCAAAGCATACTGCAAAAGCAACCAAAGAGTTTAAGGGAAAGAAGTGGAATGTTATGCAATGGCCAAGTCAATCACCTGACCTGAATCCGATTGAGCATGCATTTCACTTGCTGAAGACAAAACTGAAGGGAAAATGCCCCAAGAACAAGCAGGAACTGAAGACAGTTGCAGTAGAGGCCTGGCAGAGCATCACCAGGGATGAAACCCAGCGTCTGGTGATGTCTATGCGTTCCAGACTTCAGGCTGTAATTGACTGCAAAGGATTTGCAACCAAGTATTAAAAAGTGAAAGTTTGATTTATGATTATTATTCTGTCCCATTACTTTTGGTCCCTTAACAAGTGGGAGGCACATATCCAAACTGTTGTAATTCCTACACCGTTCACCTGATTTGGATGTAAATACCTCAAATTAAAGCTGACAGTCTGCAGTTAAAGCACATCTTGTTCGTTTCATTTCAAATCTATTGTGGTGGTGTATAGAGCCAAAAATGTTAGAATTGGGTCGATGTCCCAATATTTATGGACCTGACTGTATAAAAGATTCTTATTGAACAGCTGGGATCTAGAGAAATGGGAAAGAGAATTGGGTACAAAAATGAACGGGCAATAGAAGAATAAAATGTGTAAGTAAATGCACGGGGTGATAAATATGAATACAGTCAAAATTAATTATAAATGTTTAACCAGATGGTATTTCACACCGAGTGCGGCACAGACAACAAGCAGAGGTTTCACCACTATGTTGGAGGGGATGTGGGGCGAGGAGGACAATGGCGCACATATGGTGGGATTGCCCAAAAATACAGGTGTTCTGGCAGAATATAATTCTATATATACAGGAGATTTGGGGGATAACTATTCAGAAGGACCCGTGGGTATGCCTATTTTATAGGTCAGAGATGTCAGTGAAACAACATAAAAAATAATATATTATATCATCTAGTTAGTGCAGCAAAAGGTCTAATCCCCAAATTATGACAGGTACAGGACCCTCCAACAATGAGAGATTGAATAGACAGGATTGAGTATATGAATAGGATGGAGGAGCTATACCATATAGACGAAGATAAAATGGATACATTTAGAAAGGAATGGAGAAGGTGGTACGATTTTAAGACATTGGAAAAATACAGCGAAGTGATGGGGGCCCCGGTAGTAGAGTTGGAGAATTAAACTGAATAATTGGACAGTGGAAAAGTAGAGAAAGAAACAGTGTTTAATACATAGACAGGTAAGCAGGGAGGGAAAGAGATGGAAAGAAGTGCTTGGACAGGGGGAATTTAATGGGAGGGCAGGGAATGGGGGTAGAGAAGTGATTTGGAATGTATGTATTTTTGATAGATTAAATTATATATTGTTGATTCGTGTATAGCAACAAAAAAGGGGAAAAAAAAAAAAAAAGCAACGCTGGTGGAGATGTAGAAGTGTGCCACACTGGATGTCTTCATTTATATTCCAAAGCCGCTGTGCTGGATTTATAAGTGTGACTATACCACAGAGATGGGGGGTTTTTTCCCTGATTTACAAAGGAACTTCAGTCCTCGATCGTGGCTCCGCACCCTCCGCAAAATTAAATCATCATAAACCTGATAGAGCCCAGCAGCACATTCCAAAAAAGTTATTGGACCCCCTTCAATGCACTGTACTTGTGCACCTTTGCATGGAAACCCACATGTGCAAAGAAATGCCAAAGATCCCTGCCCAGGTCCCAAAGCCCAGCAGAGCCCTTGAGCACATAATTGCATGCGGCGTGTGTCTCACCTAGGCAAGAAAGAAGGAAAAAAAACCCCTAACAAATATATATGCAATTGCAGTAGAGGGAGGGGGATGAAGCCAGGTACAAAGACACAAAGTGGTTTTGGGGAGTGAAGATCCGCTATAACATGGTCCTGCTAACTGTGACAACAAAAATCGTTTTCTAAACTCACCCATCACCAGTAACTACATGCAAAAACAAACATATTATACTTAGGCCTCATGCAAACCAGGAGTTTGCCCAAGTCCTCAGAATGTGATTGTTCCTGGAAGGAAAAAAAGCAGCTGAGCACAAAAAGAAAAAAAAAAAAAAAAAAAGTGCCTAAAGCCACGTTTTGCACACGCGTTAAGGCACATCAAACATTTGGGCATTTGTTCCATTGGCTAGAATATTAATTTATTCTGGCCATTGGAATGAATGAACACAACCTCTGAACGCGTCTAGTATTTAGACACTTTTGCAAGTAATTTGGCGCATCAAGAGTTTTTTTCTGTTCAAAACACTCCTCTCCTGAAAGTGCAGATTATTTATTTCAACGTTTTTTTTTTTTTTTCAGCCACTAAATACTCCTTTTCTAATATGACTACAAATACTATGTGCGCATGAACACGTAGGCCAAAATAGAGGTGCATTTAGAAAGAAAAAACAACCTAGACACCCGTTAAAGCTGTGTTTTGTTTTGTTTTTTTATATCCTCTAGGCATGAGGCCTAAATGATTTTATTTAAAGTGTTACTAAACCCACAACAGTAAAATCAGTCTGTATATGCAGTAAATCATGCTTGTTATACTCACTGTGGAACCTAAGGGGTTAATACTCTGCACTGTGTAAAAATGCCGTTTGATCCTGACTTCTCTGATCCTCCCCTTCTTTCAGTGTCCCTCTTATCTCTTGATAAGATTATATGTATGGAGTCACTCTGCACATGCTCAGTTTGGTGTGTATTGCTAGAGAGGTTTTTTTTTTTCCTTGGGAGAGTGCATGCGATCAGCACAGGGCCAATAAGCATTGTCCAGACAGAGGTCAGGGGTTCTGCATCCTCCTAGAGCAAAATGAAAACTCCTCCTACAATCTTTAACATGTGCTCTGCTGGACACTGATAAAGTCACAAGACTGCTCTAACTGCTGATGAGAAAAGATATTTAGCAGTTTATATTTACTAAAATGTCCGTCTTTTGTGTACTGTGGGAGACCAGATGTAGTGAATGCGGGGTCCGGGGAGACCAGATGTAGTGAATGCGGGGTCCGGGGAGACCAGATGTAGTGAATGCAGGGTCCGGGGAGACCAGATGTAGTGAATGCAGGGTCCGGGGAGACCAGATGTAGTGAATGCAGGGTCCGTGGAGACCAGATGTAGTGAATGCAGGGTCCGTGGAGACCAGATGTAGTGAATGCAGGGTCCGGGGAGACCAGATGTAGTGAATGCAGGGTCCGGGGAGACCAGATGTAGTGAATGCAGGGTCCGGGGAGACCAGATGTAGTGAATGCAGGGTCCGGGGAGACCAGATGTAGTGAATGCAGGGTCCGGGGAGACCAGATGTAGTGAATGCAGGGTCCGGGGAGACCAGATGTAGTGAATGCAGGGTCCGGGGAGACCAGATGTAGTGAATGCAGTGTCCGGGGAGACCAGATGTAGTGAATGCAGGGTCCGGGGAGACCAGATGTAGTGAATGCGGGGTCCAGAGAGACCAGATGTAGTGAATGCGGGGTCCGGAGAGACCAGATATAGTGAATGCGGGGTCCGGAGAGACCAGATATAGTGAATGCAGGGTCCGGGGAGACCAGATATAGTGAATGCAGGGTCCGGGGAGACCAGATATAGTGAATGCAGGGTCCGGTGGAGACCAGATATAGTGAATGCAGGGTCCGGTGGAGACCAGATATAGTGAATGCAGGGTCCGGTGGAGACCAGATATAGTGAATGCAGGGTCCGGTGGAGACCAGATAATAGTAAATGCGGGGTCCGGGGAGACCAGATAATAGTAAATGCGGGGTCCGGGGAGACCAGATATAGTGAATGCGGGGTCCGGGGAGACCAGATATAGTGAATGCGGGGTCCGGGGAGACCAGATATAGTGAATGCGGGGTCCGGGGAGACCAGATATAGTGAATGCGGGGTCCGGGAGACCAGATGTAGTGAATGCGGGGTCCGGGGAGACCAGATATAGTGCATGCAGGGTCCTGGGAGACCAGATATAGTGCATGCAGGGTCCTGGGAGACCAGATATAGTGAATGCAGGGTCCGGGGAGACCAGATATAGTGAATGCAGGGTCCGGTGGAGACCAGATATAGTGAATGCAGGGTCCGGTGGAGACCAGATAATAGTAAATGCGGGGTCCGGGAGACCAGATAATAGTAAATGCGGGGTCCTGGGAGACCAGATATAGTGAATGCAGGGTCCGGTGGAGACCAGATATAGTGAATGCAGGGTCCGGTGGAGACCAGATATAGTGAATGCAGGGTCCGGTGGAGACCAGATAATAGTAAATGCGGGGTCCGGGGAGACCAGATAATAGTAAATGCGGGGTCCGGGGAGACCAGATATAGTGCATGCAGGGTCCTGGGAGACCAGATATAGTGAATGCAGGGTCCTGGGAGACCAGATATAGTGAATGCAGGGTCCGGGGAGACCAGATATAGTGGTCCTGGGTTTAGTAACACTTTAATAGTGTAGGAATGTTTAACAAACCATGGGCAGAGGGCTGGATTCCCGTACTTGCGGTGTGAGCGGGTCACCTCTGTCCAGCTGCACACTGTGACCTTCCTAAAAACTGATCCACAGCTGCAGCCTAATGAGAGGAAAGAAAAACTTTTGCTGCAGACAGACTTCCTGTCTCCATGGCAACCAACAATGGAACTGTGCGAATGATAGAATTCCATTGTTTATCCTGACCGGTACTGACCGAGGGCGATGCTCATAAAACTGACACTGGCTGAGGTTTGGCAAATTTTACATTTTATGAGTTTTGGAGATGCCCCTCCCCCAAATGGTAACGCAAGCTTGAGATACACAAGTCACATACACATATATGTAGAAATTACACAAATACGTCACAGTGCTTCTCTGGTCTCACAGTTTGTACAGTTATCTAATGTCATCTAATCACCCTACTTCACCTGGACCTTCACCCAATGCACCCTGGAAATGTAAAAACAAGCCATTGGCTCTTGCTGCTGTCAATCAAATCCTGTTATGAGGGAGTGGGAGGGGAGGCCAAGCCATGCTGTCTGTCAATTAACACAGACAGCGCAGCTCAGGATCAAGCCCACTGGTGTGCCTCAATACAATGTTTTCTATGAGGTACCACCAAGAAGAGGAGGAGCCAGGAGTGACGGCGGGGGACCCGAGAAGAGGAGAAGAAAGGAGTGATGGCGAGGGAACCTGAGAAGAAGAGGAGCCAGGAGTGACAGCGGGGGAACCGAGAAGAGGAGGAGCCAGGAGTGACAGCGGGGGAACCGAGAAGAGGAGGAGCCAGGAGTGACAGCGGGGGAACAGAGAAGAGGAGGAGCCAGGAGTGCCAGCGGGGGAACAGAGAAGAGGAGGAGCCAGGAGTGCCAGCGGGGGAACCCGAGAAGAGGAGGAGAAAGGAGTGCCGGCGGGGGACCCGAGAAGGAGGAGGAGAAAGGAGTGCCGGCGGGGGACCCGAGAAGAGGAGGAGAAAGGAGTGCCGGCGGGGGACCCAAGAAGAGGAGGAGAAAGGAGTGCCGGCGGGGGACCCGAGAAGAGGAGGAGAAAGGAGTGCCGGCGGGGGACCCGAGAAGAGGAGGAGAAAGGAGTGCCGGCGGGGGACCCGAGAAGAGGAGGAGAAAGGAGTGCCGGCGGGGGAACCGAGAAGAGGAGGAGAAAGGAGTGCCGGCGGGGGACCCGAGAAGAGGAGGAGAAAGGAGTGATGGCAGGGGACCCGAGAAGAGGAGGTTTGGTGCTGCTCTGTGTAATTCCATTGCACAGAGCAGGTATGTATAATGTTTTTTATTAAAATAAAAAAAGGTTCCCAATCCCTGTAATGCACGTTTCAACATGCATTAATGTAGTCAATTGTATTATGAGTGGGCTGCCAACACAATGGATGATGAAGACACGTGTATGACCCTTTTTCAACAACATAACACATCATAATACCCAGCATATGCATTGTATGGTATTACGGTGCATTGGGTTGCACTGTACAATGAATGGCACTACAACACCCCCACACAGGGCACTGCAATGAACATTGTTTTAGCATGCACTGCCACGACACACAAGGCTGAAGAGGCCCTTATATCTGCCACCAATATGGAATTCCCCTTTAGATGTTCTATAGTTCAGCTCATGCAGTTTTTTTTTTTGTTTTTTTCTAGGGAATATTAATTTGCAAAATTGAGAACTGCTTAAACAGCATGGTCACTGACCTCCAATACGCTAAACTTTTTCCCACAATCCTTTTCCAGCATCCACTACACCCCTTCCTACCCTGGGTAATGCATCTCTCAGGAGAGCGCCCTCCCATGGACAAGTAGCCCCTGCGGTGACTTTCGCTAGGTTTTCAGCTTGAAGTAGCTTTCTTAATTATGTGCGGCCGGTTTTCGGGAAAACTTAATTAGCTCAGTAATTAGGCTTCAATAAAAATGGCTGGTGCACGCCGGGAGTTTCAAATCTGCTGTAATCTGCATTAGTCAGCTGCTGGGAAGTAATTGTCCTTTCAGGTTCTCAGGGAGATGGCAACTCCACAGTGCGAGGAGAAACAAATGGACGCAACAGGCTGGAGCGATGCGCTCGTGTCAATTCTGATATACAACACACAAAAAGCGATTTTGTTTACACAATGAAACAGGTTCACTTTATGGAGTAAAATTTAGCCCTGGTTCACACTGATGCGATTTTGGATACATTTCAGACCGCACTGATTCGCATGTCAAGGGAGATAACATGGCCTTCTATGGAGGTCCTTCACACCTATGTGTTGCAAAGGCGATGCGATTTCCAAAAGGGCTGTGCGCATGTTTGGTGTGATGCGGTGCGTATTTGAGCCCTATAGAAGCTGTGTAAAATCGTAACAATCGCACCACAAAATCACACTTGAAAATGCATAGAAAAAAATCGCACTGCATGAGGATGGACCAGAGGTGAAGAGAGCAGATGGTGATGGGGCTGAAAGTACAATTCCAGGCTATAATATTCTACGCTTAAAACTGGCTCCCACTTCCCTTCTAACCCCTGCTTCACATATATGTGGCCGTGCGGGCCGCGTTTTGTGCAGGCATGAGAGCCCATTCATTTGAATGGACTCCCATGCCCCGTGACACGCAGAGAAGAAGTCCCTGCACTTCTGAAAACTCAGCCCGCGCAGGAACCTCGGTTCCCAGTACGATTGCATTTTCCAGTGCGGGCGGCGTGCCATTAGAACTAATGGCATCCGCCTGCAGGTCCGCATTCCTCTGTGTGGGTGGTGCGGCTGCACGGATTTTCATGCGGATCTGCAGCGGCACCACCTGCACATATGTGAACCTAGCCTAAGTCCTATACTAACCACACTGTAGATCAGGGGTGTCAAACTGGCGGCCCTCCAGCTGTTGCGAAACTACAAATCCCATCATGCCTCTGCCTTTGGGAACCATACTTGTAATTGTCAATCTTGCAATGCCTCATGGGAATTGTAGTTTGGCAACACCTGGAGGGCCACCAGTTTAACACCCGTGCTGTAGATGGAAGATGCTTATACTTACCATTATCCCTGGTCATGTGAACTCCCCAGCAGCGGCTTCAGGGAAGAGAGATCACCTACAATGATTGAAATGCCTGGGTGGTGATGTCACCCATAGGCTTACTATTGGGTATTCATTGTTGGCAGTCCATCCTCTCCGCTGAAGCTGGCGCTGGGAGCTGATCACGTGACTGAACCAAAGTGCCTTGAGAATAGGCAGGCCACTGCCCCAGGTTTCCCATTTCAGGTTGGCTCCGTTTTCTAGCAGCATCCTATGGAGCCACCCTTGCAACAGAGGCTAGAACTGTCTCCATACTTTGCGTGCATCAACAAACACCCAGAGCCAGAGCCTAGGATGGCAAGGAACTCCCCCACTCCTGCCTCCTTCAAGCTAAAAACAAACTGGCTTGAAATTGCACTGTCCACTGTTAATGGTTTCTTTTGAAGACCCAAAGTTCAGGGAAGCATCACTTAGAGAGCGGAATAAGAAGCACAGAAAGTTGTAAACCACAAGTTTTATACGTTTACAGAGGAAGGTTTATTTTATGGCGTTCAATGTGTTGATCTAACAAACACGGAAGGTTTAATAATGCTTTAAATTGCTGTGTTTGATTTGGTTATGTGCACATAGAAGCCCTGAAAAGCAAGGTTATAATCAGGCTATCACACCACTGTCAGAGCTCACAAAGCCTCACTGATCACATGTTTGGACTAGCCCAATTATGACAGGTTCTCTTTACAGATCTCATTATTCAGACACATTTAAAAAGGGGAGCTCCAGTCAGAACAAGAAGGTCCTAAAACCTATTCATATTTCTCCTTCCCTTGTTATGGAAGAGCCCTGAATGTATAAATTCGGCACATAACACCCTCTGAAACTACACATCAGTGTCCTCCCCCATCATCCCGACAGCATGGCTACACAAGTATTATTGGTCATGATGAAGCACGAGATGGTGTGAAACACGTTAATACGTCTTGTATTCATGTCCTGGTGTTGTGTGTCCTATGGATCTATAAATGCACACTATATCCCTCTATCCTCCGGTGTGCGGCTGACCCTTCTTCCTATGGCTACATAACTAAAAGCCAGCACTGCATCATGGGAAGTACGTTTTTCTGCAGCTGCAGCCCTACTCCACCATAGCATGCTGCAGAGGATGGGGGATTAGTCACACACACCAAAATTCAGACTTCCATACGTGTATCCACCAATCTGAATACTAGGTACAGCTGAACAAACTTACCAGCACCCTGGAAAATATCCGCACATCAATCAAATCCCCGACAAGGCACTTGTGCCCTCCTCAATATTTCACCAACCTCTGGGAAGAGGTACAATTGACATTCGCCAACCTATACAGCGCATTTCCACAACATCTCTCGCCTCTCCACAGATAAGAGCATTAAACTGGAAGAACGCTTTCCCTGCGCCATTTATAAAACAAACTCCGAGCCGAGCGGCGGGACATCAGCTCCCGAGGCCGGTGATCCTAATGGCCTCTCTTGTTGTGTATTTAAATTGCCTTGTGCCCCCCCGCTGCTACTTCTGGTTCTTACCGACGCTGATAAAGAGCATTGAGGCCGAAAAGTTCCTCCCCTGTGGCGGACGCATACACGGGATCTCCGCTGGGAGCACTACGCACAACGCCGCAGCTAGAACTTCCCCACATTAACCCTTTCCAGGTCGGCATTCTCCCTTCCGGCTGGCGGCCTGTCAGAGCGGCGAGGAAAATGCATATTTTAGGCATTAAACTCCACAGGGACGACATCCATAATGAAATTTTAATTGTTTTCATAAAAAGGTGGTCAGGCTGCAAATGTCATCCGGCTTAAAATTTTATGCCTTGTGGATGATAAAATAGCCAATAAAAGGACGCAGCAAGCAGGCAATAAACATGCAGATTTAAATAAGAAGCAGCCACTGTTTCCATGGCGACTATGTACGGGAGTCCGGGGCTCCGGATAGGAGACGCAAGGGACGCGACAACCCCAGGAATGGGATACAAACCGCAAGGAGGGCCTAGCGTGCCTGCCAGCCGCTGGACTGGACCCAGGACCTTCACCCTTCACTTGCTGATCTGCAACAACACACAATCAGAACACAGAGGGTGAAGGAATACAAAAACATGGAGTTCTATTCTGAACGGTTTATGGTCCACCCTCTGCATAGAGCAAGACGTATGTCAAAGCAAGGCCCCGCCCACAAATCATGTGATGTGGGAACGTGTGCAATATCCCACAGTGCACGACAAGGCGCTACATTCTGCCAGGCGCGCTGTGGTGCCATTCATTCGCAAAAGCGGACCTTCACTTAGGGCTAGTTCACATTACATGCAGTCCAGTGCGGTTTTTTTCTGCATCAAAAATACATGCACAGTGTTTTCCATGTACTCCAATGGCCCTAATTCACAACAGTGCAGTCAGTTTCCACTGCAGAAAAAAAAAAAATGGAACATGCTGCATTTTTTTTCTGCACAGAACCATACTGGAACATGGCAAACTACATCAAAACTGCACCGGAACTGCGTGTGGTGTGAACTGTAAGCAAAAACGTATGTGGGATGCATCCGGAGTGCGTTTTTGTGGTGTGAACTGGACCTTAAAGTGAAAGTGCCGCTACCGCTCCTCCCCTCCACCCTCCTCTAACAGATTTGGATTGTTCTGGGGGCTGTTTGGGAGCGGGACTGGGTGGCTTTTTATGGCCGATAACCACTCCTGTCCTTCTTGCCTAGGTGAGACGTGTCATCTCACGCATACACAGCAGGGGGTTCACGGTGTCACAGCCGCCTCCCACAGCCATGATGGGGACTGGACGTCAGCGCTGGATTCTTAGGCTCGTGAGTGGCGGCACTCTTCTGTGTAACCTCACCTCCATTACATCTCCAAGATACGCCCCTTCTTAACCTCCCAAACCACTAAGAAACGTATTCACTCCCTGGTTATATCTCACCTTGACTACTGCAACTCCCTCCTCATTGGCTGACCTCATCGCAGGCTATCCCCTCTTCAGTCTATCATGAATGCTGCTGCCAGACTCATCCACCTTACTAACCGTTCTGTATCTGCCCCCCCCTCTCTGCCAATCCCTCCATTCAATGTCCTCCACCCCTCTCTGCCAATCCCTCCACTCAGTGTCCTCAACCCCTCTCTGCCAATCCCTCCACTGGCTTCCCATTGCCGAATGGATACAATTAAAAACATTAACAATAACATATAAAGCCATTTATAACTCTGCCCCAAATTTCATCAACGATCTTGTCTCCAAATATCACCCAAACCGTCCTCTCCGCTCCTCCCTCCTGCTCTCTATCTCCCTTGTCTCCTCCTCCCATGCTTGGTCTCCAGGACTTCGCCAGAGCTTCCGCCATCCTCTGGAACTCTCTATCCCAATTTATCAGACTATCGCCTACTCTGCTCACTTTTAGGCGATCTCTGAAAACCTCTCTTCAGGGAAGCCTATCCTGCTAATAATGGAATCTTCTATTCCTCCTACCAGTCCATCCCCCACAGTTACTACCTTTTTTACCACTAGCCCCTCCCTCATAGATTGTAAGCTCCCAGGATCAGGCCCTCTTGTATTGTTGCTGTATTGTCTCCTGTTGTATTGTGCCAACAGTTTGCTCAGCGCTTTACAATATAAATCCTGTATAATAATAATAAATTTCTGCAAGTAGGGTAGCCCACCGAAATGAAATACACAAACGTGTGTGGAACCGCCGCACCTGCACAGGTGTGAATGAAGCCTTCAGGATTGCATACAGTTTACATATCATGTGTATGGAGAGGTCATAAATGGTCAGAATACACGCATTACTATGACGACTTGCAGCTTTATTGCCATTTTTGCAGCGCTCCCTGTCCGCATGCTGGTACCTGTAGTTCCTGTACAGCTGGGGGGGCCCAGGTTACCACCACCTACGCTGGCTGTGTAATGATATGAGAGAAGAGATTGCTGGGGTATGAGAACTGCTTTCCAGAACAGAAACTCGGCAACATCTGGACAATTAGGAGTTCTGGCAGGAGCGGCAGAGACGGACGGTGTGAGCTGCAGACAGAGACAATGATTAATTCAAAGTCCAGGAAAAAGCTGCGCAAACGGAAGAGCAGGTTGGAGAATGTGGCCAAGAAAGGAGCCGGGAACCATGACAACCAGCTATGCAAGCAATGCAAATACTCCCTGAATGCCTGCTGTGAGAACCCAGTGCCAAGCACAACGTCAGCCAGGCCCCGGGGCTTCCCATGATGGGCGACGACCCACAATGCAACGCGGGAGCCTCAGGGACCTTACTGAGGGTGTCTGTGATGTTCGGCTGTCAGATCGGTACACAACCGTGATTACCATACATGGCAGGTTGTGGAGCCTCCCAGACACAATTTGTACTGGCATCTGGTATATACATTAATATGACAGGTCCTCTTTAAAGTAGATAAAACCCTTGTATAACAATCTCATAGAAGCTTCTCCATGGTAATGTTATGCAGAAATAAAAAAAAATAACCCATGTGATCCTGCCATGAAAGTCCTTGTTCACGTACTTCCTGTTCTAGGGTGACTACGCTCCATCCTCATCTCACAAATCTGCTCCCATGTTGTCATCTTGTCACACGTACCCGCTTCTCTCAGAGCAGCCCTAGAGATTCTCCCAGCACACTCCCATTCACACCAATAACTGGGCGATTTAGGGGATTATTTTTGCATGCTTTTCATGTTCCACTTGTAGTACAGGAGCAGAATCATGAATTTTTGGTCCCATAGATTTTAAAATTGGAGTACCTAAAAGCACATTTTTAGTCGCTCCCACTAAAGTCTACGAGGCCAGAAACACAAACAT